TTGTTGTTGTTGATGATGTCGATGATGATGTTGTTATAGTTGATGTTGATGTCATGATTGTTGTTGTTGATGCCGATGATGATGTTGTCATAGTTGTTGATGTTGATGTCGATGATGATGTTGCTGTTGTCATGTTGTTGGTGTTGATGTCGATGATGTTGCTGTAGTTGATGTTGATGTTAATGTTAATGTTGTCATAGTTGATGTTGTTGAAGGTTGATGATTGTTGTTATGTTGATGTTGATGTCGATGTTGAATTGATGTTGATGTTGATGTTGATGTCGATAATGATGTTGCTGTAGTTGATGTTCATGTTCATGTTCATGTTGTCGTAGTTGATGTTGATGGTAATGTTGTTAAGTTGACGTTGTTTGATGTGATGTTGTTGTTGATGATAGTTGATGTTGATGTATGATTGTTGTTGTTTGATGTTGTGTTGTCATAGTTGTTGATGTTAATGTCGATGATGATGTTGGATGATGTTGTTGTTGATGTTGATGTCGATGTGATGATGTTGTTTGATGTTGATGTCGATGATGTTGTTGTTGATGTCGATGATGATGTTGCTGTAGTTGATGTTGATAGTGTTATACTTGATGTTGTCGTTGATGTTGTTAATGATGATGTTATTTCGATGCTGTTAATGTTAATGTTGATGTAAATTTTATTATTGTTGTTATAAAGTACTTAGTGTATTGTGTTTTTGTATCCTATGTATGTATTATTATGACCATCATGATGATTATTGTCGTTATGGTTATTAATATTATGTTACTTTCATCACGAATATCATTGTCACTATCACGATCACTATTAGTATCTTCAGCACCATTATCCACTGCTTCATTATGACCATCATTACCATTTCCATCATCGTCATCACCATCATCATCATCATCATCACCATCATCATCACCATCATCATCACATCATTTAACATCATCATATATCAATTCTCATATATATATATCATCATATCATTCATATCATATATCTTCATCATCAATATACTAGTATCATCAACATCCTCACCATTAATAATATTACAATCATCATCAGCATCATTCTTACTATCACCAGTATTACTACATCACCACTATCAGATCCATCATATTACCAATGTTATTCTCACCGTCAAAATCACTATTATCACCATTATTATCACCATCATCATCATTATCATCATGATCATCATCATCATTATCATCATGATCATCATCACCATCATTATCACCATCATTACCATCATCATTATACTCATCATCATATCATTCATCATCATCATCCATCACATCATCACATCACCATCATTATCATCACATCATCCATCATCATCATCATTATCATCACTATCATCATTACCATCATAATAATCATCGTCACCATCATCACATCACTATCATCATCATCATCATCATCATCATCACCATCACCATCATCATCATCATCATTATATCACCATCATCACCATCATCACCATCATCATCAACCTCCTCATATCATTAATTATCTTATCTTTATCTCAGGAGACCGCAACTTCCGCCAAGTCTGGCTCAACACCAGCATCTCAGAGGTAAGGAGATAATATAAGATAGATAAGATAAGATAAGATAGATAAGCAAGATAATGGTTAGAAAGATAAGATAAGATAGATAAGGCAAAATAAGATAGATGAGATAAGATAAGATAGTTAAGGCAAGATAGATGGTTAGAGAAGATAAGATAACACAGTGATATAAGATAGATGCGATAAGATAATAAAATAAGGTAAGATAGATAAGGGTAAGGTAAGATGATAAGATAAGATAGGATAAGTAAGATAAGATAGATAAGCTAAAATGGGATAAGACAAGATAGATGAATATAAATGATAAGATAGATAAAATAAGATGAGATGAACAGGACCAATAAGGTAAAAAAGAGATGATGGTGAGATAAGATAAGTGAGATGGCATGATAAGGTGACTCTAGATAGATAAGAGGCTTTTCATTTGGACCTAATAGGTAAGGTGATTATAATAAGTCAAGACAAAAGATAAGAGAGATAAGACGAGATACACGACGTAAGAGAGATAAGACACGATAGCTAAGATAGATAAGAAAGGATAAAACTATAATGATAAAAATAAAAATAATGATAAAAATAAAATAAACTGATAAAAAATAAAACTAATAACTGATAAAAAATAAAACTAATAACTGATAGAAAAAATAAAAATAATAACTAAAATAAATTTTAAAAAATGATAATAACATAAAAAAAACTCATAACGCTGAAGCAGGGTAAAGTAAGGCAAGGAAAAGGGAAGACAAGGAGAGATAAAGATAAAGGAAAGGTTAGGAAACGGGATATATTGTTATTGTGATGCCTGTGGGAGGGAGGGAGAGAGGGGGGGAGAGGGGGAAGGAGGGAAGGAGGGGGGCAAGTGAGAGAGAGGGGGGTTGGGAGTTCGAGCAAGTGGGAGGGAGAAGAGAGAGAGAGAGAGAGAGAGAGAGAGAGAGAGAGAGAGAGAGAGAGAGAGAGAGAGAGAGAGAGAGAGAGAGAGAGGGAGAGAGAGAGGGGGGAGGGGGGACAAACGAGAGAGTGGGGAAAAGGGGGGAGAGGGGACAAGCGATAGAGAGAGAGAGAGAAGGGGAGAGGGGATGTCGAGAGAGAACGGGGGGAAGAGGGAGGGGGGGAACTGGAAGAGAGAGAAAGAGAGGGAGAGGAACTGAGAGGAAGAGGAGAAAGGCAGATGGGAAAAAGGATAGAGAGAGAGAGAGAGAGAGAGAGAGATGGGTTGCTGTTCGCAATATATTTCTAATTTTCCTGTTTCTATGTATATGTCCATGGTATATCAAACTCTGTTTTTTTTATCTATCTCATTTCTATAAATTATATGCTACCGTATCTATTATTTATAACGCAGGCAATTATTCTTTGTGGAGGATAATATGGATATAATTTCATAAACAATGGATGAAAATATATTACCTTATTAATCGGTTGTTGATTCGTTATTGCGGCAATATGCAAAATGGCAGTCGTTGAGCTCCAAAATTGCGGGCAAAAATGCATACACGCATGAGGGTTTGTGTGCACATACACCTTTGGGTTTGTATTTGGTCAGAGGGTGGGGTTGATATGTACACGTACATGTACACATACATATGCACAGATACATTCACGCGTATGGATGCATATGCTCAGACACACACATATGCATACAAATTTACACATACACTAGTTCAATAACACACGCACGTCCATATACATCAGCATAAAACACACACAAGTACACATGCACATGCACAAACGCACACAATACACATATACAAACACACACACGATGCCCACATAGACCAGCTCAAACAGACACACACACACACGTACATCTACACATACACATACACACACGTACACCTACACATACACATACACACACGCACATACATACATGCACACGCAAACACATAATCATCTGATACATCTACCCATTTGTCTCAGTCCTGTTATAACTATCACTTCATATTTCTCCTTTTGGCTATTTATCGGTTTCTTCTATTCACCATATTCATCTTCCTTATCGATTCCCACAGATTTGGAAAACGTGAATCTGGAATTAACCTTAAAGATCAACAGTACGTCTATACAGCTATGGCGACAGGGAGAGTTGGTGAGAATAACTGTATTTTTTATCTATTTTTTTTCTTATCTGTTTATAGATTTCATTGCGTTTAGTTGTTGCTGACACTCTTTGGTAAGTGTGATATTAATTGTAGGGTGTGTTCTTATTTCATTCTTATATTATTTTATTATTATACCTTTGTGATTTTTTTTAATCTTCATATTGTTGTATTTCTTATTCTCTTGTTTATAGTAATCATAAACACATAAATTATAAAAGTAGTGAAAAATTATAATATAATTCTTTCTTTCTTCTTTTTCTTCAGCTTATTCCCATTTCTATATGGGGTCACTGTTCCTCGCTAGCCTCTTCCATCTTGCTCTGTCCATTGCATCTTCCCTTCTGAGTCCCTTGTCTTCCAGATTCTTTAGCCTTTCCTCCAACTCAATTTGGGTCTACCTCTCCTTCTACGTCATCCACGTGCATATCATAACTTGGTTTCCAATATAGCCTTCTTCACTTCTGATGACATGCCATACCAGTTAATCCTTCTTTCTTGCATCTTTGCACTCACTTCTGTGATTGACTGTACCTTTTTGATGTAGTCATTCCTGATCTTATCCTTCCTCGTGACACCAACACCACCTTAACATCCTCATCTCTGCTATATTTTCCTCACCTTCTTTTATGCACTTCTTAAATTTGGCCATTGTTTTTCTCGCTCCATAAAGGATAGCAAGGTCTCCAGCTGTCTTTTGTAAATATCTTTCTTTGAGTCTTGCCGCGTGATCTTCATTGTGCAGAGTATCTGGGCGTGCCACAACCTCGTTTAATTGGTCTGCGCCACCCGTTAGTCGTGACTGATGCGTTTGATTTATCTTCTACATTTTCAGGTTCACAGCCGTCCTCCTCTGTCGACATGTGGAGCCTAGATAATTAAATAAGCTGGTAGCCACTCTTTAATGATCCTCGTCATCTTTCGCACCCGGCTCCCATTTTCCTCTCCAAAATCATTAATATTGTAGAGGTTGATCAGACTTTGGGGTCTGCTATCTTCAATGTCGGTTCCTCAAAGCTCTTCCATTCGGCGAAAGTTTTTTTCTACATGATTCTTTTGTTTGTGAAACTACACTCAAGACA